ACGTGGTCTACCTTGCTAATACAAAAGAATATGACGCCCACATTTCAATACCCTCAGGTCTTTTTGTGCTTGAGATATCTTAACCTAAGAAAATCGTACTTGTCTCTTTAAAATCAATCTCATTTCCAGCGAAATAGCCACCCTCAGAATAGATCACAGAGCTCATGGTTTGAGTCCGGTTTTGCTACAATAAGCGAACTACTTTTTGCACACAAAATACAGTCCGTTTTCCTGTTGACTGAATAAATACTCACAACTGATAGAAGTCATGCCACCCTTGGTTGGAAACACTCAATATTAGGTACTCAATCTTAGTTTGGATGGTAATTACACATCCGTTAACAAAGTCTCGCCCATTAAGTACCACTCCTCCTACTGACGGTACCACAGTGTCGGCACTGGTCATTCAAGCCGGTAGGCAGTCCCACTCTGATTCAAGTAGACCGAACGATGGCAGAATATTGACGAATCGTATAGGACTGCAAGCCATTTTGCAATATAGATATTGTGTTGTGGAGTCTTTTATTGCATGTTTGGATAATCTAAGGGCAATGGATTCTGTACCAGAAATGTTACACTGAAAACCTTTTAGCCCGAGTACTATTCCAGGGCCGAGTCTTTGTTGCGTTTCATTAGAGGTAGCGATCGTCAACTGCTACCCACGAGTCATGTTTGTTTACTTATAATCAGATACTAAAGTGGGTACAGGGAAATTACTCTCATAAACCATTACATCGGCACTAATGAATGTCGGTAAACATGTCACATATTTAGAATGCTTAGCAAAGGAAGTACTTCTATTCGACATTTTATGATAATTGACTTTTTATATTCGCGTATTGTATTTTTATATAAGAAATAGAAACGTCACAAGTGCCTTTTCCAACGTTCATTGATTTCTTATAACTCTTGGATATAATTGGTTTTAGATGTTTAATATTGGTTTTACATGTTTGAATATTTGTATAACTTGTAATCTTTCGCAGAAAGATGTGATGGCCATAAAAGTAGACTAATGCTTTGTATCTGAAAAGATACAGTTTTTGTTAAAAACAAGCAACTACATTTAAATTGAAAGGAGCCCTAGTGAAATGGAAGATTCAGACTGAACCTGTGGAAAATCCAAACTTGCTGCATTTGAGGCTTCAGCATTACAGTAAGGGCTGGGCGGAAGGCAGAACATAATGGTTCAGGGACTGTGACACAGGCTGGCCCTACAAGTTGTTGCCAGGCATATAAGGCAGGCAATTCATCAGTCAGTGAACAATCACCCCAAATGGTTGTTTTCCAGGAATCTGTTTAGAGCTGCGAGATACCCTTGCTAGTTGTTAAAGTGTTCGCTCGTCGCACTGACCAGCCTGGTTCGATTCCCCACATGGGTACACAATTTGAAATGTGTTCTTTGGTGTCGCTATACAGTGACATTGCTGTAATATTGCCAAACTTAACTTAACTAAAATACATTTTAGGCTCTCATTTTGTGTATACGGAATGTCGCATGTACCTTATGCACACATGTGTCTGTTGTGTTGGGTGTTTTGAGCTGTGAGATCGTTGCCGCAGGTACGTTGAACATGTATATATTGAAGGAGCGGCGTTTTGTTGAGCATGATTGGAAGTGAGCTCGGGGACCGACCATGTGGGATTTGGGCTGGGATTTTGTTTTGAGACCAGATATTTTTTCAGCTATAACTGCAAACCCAGAAATATGTTCATTAAAACCATGAGCGAAAATAATTTTTTTCAAAAACACATTGCAGCGATAATTTTGTGGCAGACAAATTTTGTCCAACAATATGAAGCATAATTATTTTGTTCAAGACGTTACGGGACAATTGATTTTTTTCGATAAAACACTTTTTACACATTATTTTGTGGCCACGAAACGGATTAATGGATTATGAATTGTTTTGTTTTATTTTATCTACTTTAAAAAGAGATGATAATAAACATGCAAACAATAGCAGTGTTCTACGTATCATAAAAATTATATTCAGGCGTTGATCCATGGCCATGAATACCCACCATGGCAACTGTCAGTAATACAGTAGAGTAAATACTGCTCTGTTCTGCTACTAAATGAGTGGGTTATTCCCGAGAGGCCGGGGGATACAGGACTGTCGCTGAGAATCAAATCAACCGCAACCGCCCAGGTCGATACTACTACACTGGCTACTTAAGTGATAACGCTATCGAGTATAGACTTGGATGAATCAGACATAGAAAAGGTGTGTGAATGAACCGTTCTTAGTCAGGTAAATACTCAGTGCTAGAACTACATAAACCTATTCCATATATATACACAAACAGACCCGAGTAATGTAGGTCTATATTTACCGGGCTCACAAACGTACCAATTGTAATCTAGGTCAAAATGCACCGGGTACACAAATAACTATAAGGTCTATATGTACCGGGTACACAAACATACCCATATTAATCTAGGTATATATGTACCGGGTACACACACATACCCACATTAATCTAGGTCTATATGTACCGGGTACACAAACATACCCATAGTAATCTAGGTCTATATGTACCGGGTACAAAAACATACCCACAGTAATCTAGGTCTATATGTACCGGGTACACAAACATACCTATAGTAATCTAGGTCTATATGTACTGGCTACACAGTGATGCAGGTCTCAGACCTTTACCACTTCGATGAAACCCACGAGCACGGGTATGATGCTGACAAACCTAGAAACATTTCGGGGCGAACCGGGATTCGAACCAACAATCATAGGTTTATGGCGTGCACAAGGGACGCAATTCTGCACAGCGAATCGCGGCGCCTTAGACGACTGGGCCACCCGTGCCGATGAATGTTTGAATAAAAGTGACAAAACCCTTTCCACATTCACAAAACTATATCTGCCAATACTATACGATGTATGATTCCGACTCGCCTTTTGAGCCCGATTTCGTAAAGCTTGGTTTCGGATCAATTGATCCTATACTCTTGTTGACCTGGGGAGACCAGGCGGGGTCAATCGTCAACACTTTAGGTTTGTTGGTACCTGTTCCATGGTCTTCTAATCCCAGACTATGAAAAAATGAACGTATTGGCCACTGCACGCTAACTTGTGACGGTTTCAGCATGCCAACAGCCCGTATAGACTCTCCGTGCGTTGCAGACGCCGCATCGCTAGTTCATACACAAACAATGAATGAAATCAAGTAAATCACAACTGTATGATAAGCAGAATCAAAGAGAGTGAAAGAGATAATGGTCAACAGCGATTGATCGACCTTCCTTGAAAGTGTCAAAACCAGGAATGACACCCAACGCACGTGTGTAGCACTACTGTCTAAGGCACATGCAAAGTATAGGATGTGTTTGGGTGTTACGTTTTGCAGACATAAACGTTCTTGCATAATATGTTTGTCGGCAACAATTATCTTTGTTCTATACTTGTTCTTAACATTTATATTTTATGATCCCCTACTTGTTTTAAAGAGTATATATCATTTTAGATTTGAGACATGACTTAATAAGCCATCCTTGTGACCATTATATTCTGCCTTCTGCCCAGCCCTTACTGTAATGCTGAAGCCTCAAATGCAGCAAGTTTGGATTTTCCACAGGTTCAGTCTGAGTCATTATTCTACTTTTATGGCTATCACATCTTGTGGCTTGACCCATGCATGACACCCTGGCTTGTACCATGCACGACACCCTGGCTTGTACCATGCATGACACCCTGGCTTGTACCATGCATGACACCCTGGCTTGTACCATGCATGACACCCTGGCTTGTACCATGCATGACACCCTGGCTTGTACCATGCATGACACCCTGGCTTGTACCATGCATGACACCCTGGCTTGTACCATGCACGACACCCTGGCTTGTACCATGCACGACACCCTGGCTTGTACCATGCACGACACCATGGCTTGTTCCATGCATGACACGCTGGCTTGTACCATGCATGACACCCTGGCTTGTACCATGCATGACACCCTGGCTTGTACCATGCATGACACCCTGGCTTGTACCATGCATGACACGCTGGCTTGTACCATGCATGACACGCTGGCTTGTACCATGCACGACACCCTGGCTTGTACCATGCATGACACGCTGGCTTGTACCATGCATGACATGCTGGCTTGTACCATGCATGACACCCTGGTTTGTACCATGCATGACACCCTGGCTTGTACCATGCATGACACCCTGGCTTGTACCATGCATGACATGCTGGCTTGTACCATGCATGACACCCTGGCTTGTACCATGCATGACACCATGGCTTGTACCATGCATGACACGCTGGCTTGTACCATGCATGACACGCTGGCTTGTACCATGCATGACATGCTGGCTTGTACCATGCATGACACCATGGCTTGTACCATGCATGACACCCTGGCTTGTACCATGCATGACCAGCTGGCTTGTACCATGCATGACACGCTGGCTTGTACCATGCATGACATGCTGGCTTGTACCATGCATGACACCCTGGCTTGTACCATGCATGGCACCCTGGCTTGTACCATGCATGACATGCTGGCTTGTACCATGCATGGCACCCTGGCTTGTACCATGCATGACACCCTGGCTTGTACCATGCATGACATGCTGGCTTGTACCATGCATGACACCCTGGTTTGTACCATGCATGACATGCTGGCTTGTACCATGCACGACATCCTGGCCTGTACCATGCATGACAACCCTGGCTTGTACCATGCATGAAACCCTGGCTTTAACGATTACTATGCATGATAGCCTGGCTTGTACAATTACCATACATGATACACTGGCTTGTACCATACATGACACGCTGGCTTGTACCATGCATGACACGCTGGCTTGTACCATGCATGACACGCTGGCTTGTACCATCCATGACACCCAGGCTTGTATCATGCATGAAACCCTGGCTTGTACCATCCATGACGCGCTGGCTTGTACCCTGCATGACACACTGGCTTGTACCAGTCATGACACGCTGACCTGTAGATTACCATGGTTACTTACATTACAGGGTTGAGTCTCTGAGTATGGGGACACTTCAGTTCAAAGTGGTACACTTGAGCTGATATCAACTTTATCGCCTGCTTTCGCAACACAGCGTCGTTCTGTGACGTCACCATTGAAGACTCTGACGCTAGAACCCGGATGAGGTCTTGGAATGCTGTGAATGTTTAGTGGGAATAAAGGACAATGTCATCGCAGCGAAAGTATGTAGTAAGTAAGTATTTGAATGAAGTTAAATCAGCGATATTCCGGCTTTATCACGGAAGTTTGTAGATGATCGAGTCTGAGCCAGGTTGACCAGTTGTTGACAGCACGCCTGACAACCAATGACGACCAAGGATTGTGTCACACATTGTGACCACCCGACTCCATTATTCAGGCTCAGGCTCCAAGCTCCTCGCAGCGATATCCCGTTAGCTCTCTATACTATCGCTGATAGCTGGCTACAACCATGCTTGGAGTTGAACTCACAACCGCCTGAACGTTATGTTTACAAACAATCGGTAACTGTCGTGGGGCGGAATACTCTTACACCTGCTAAATTATTTTCTTTGTTTGTGAATTTGAATTTCTGTTTCATTACAACTTCATGTATTTGGTATTGTAAGAATGTAAAGGGGAAGTTGGTTGGTTTTCCGTCTGCAATCTCGAGCCAATCTGATCAAACAAAAGTCGGTCGCAAACCTTTTCAAAATTCACTTTAATGGCATTCCGAAATACATAAACAAATGTATTAGCAATACTACATTTGGGGTTAGAGGGCAAATTTCAAGATTCTTGTAATGGCCGCGCCCACACTATTTGCAGCGATGTTACCAAGAGTGTAACGAAGGTGTCATGCGCTGGGAAGGAACTTGTATTCAAGGCTTACGATAAGCATGGAAAACTGGTAACCTGTTCTGCACAGCAGTGCCATAGGTCAAGTAAGACCAACTTTTGATAAATAATTTGCAAGTGATTCTGTCTTTTGATTGGCTGACTTAGCAATTAATTTTGCGTTTATGCTTCCATAACCGAAAACGAATAACCACGCCCACTAGCGGACTACTGTTTCCTAATTGGGCGGGGCTTGTCGTATCGTTGTCTTCAGTTTCTTTGTGTTACAATGTGTCTTTGAATTTATTAGTGTTGATTTCATATATAAGAATTAATTTCTATAATATTTTGCGTATATCGAGCTATGGACGTAAATGACTGCGTGCGCACTTTAACACAGATTTATACAGTGGCAACACCGGATCTTAAGTCGTTAATGGAAGTATAGACCTAAACAACGGCGTGCGCACTTTAACGCGGATTTATACAGTGTGCACACCGGATGTTAAGTCTTTTATGGAGTTATAGACCTAGATAACGCCGAGCGCACTTTAACGCGGATTTAGACTGTGTGCACACCGGATGTTAACTCGTTTATAAAGTTATAGACCTAAATAACGGCTCGCGCACTCTACCGCGGATTTATACAGTGTGCACACCGTATGTTAAGTCGTTTATGGAATACTAGACCTAAATAACGACGTGCGCACTTTAGCGCGGATTTATACACTGTGCACACCGGGTGTTAAGTCGTTTATGGAAGTATAGACGCATAAAACATTGAAGTAAATTCTTAAAGATTCCTATATCCATAACATCAACTCCATGTTTACGCGTAAATGGGATGCAAAGACAGAAAAATTCTGAAAACTGACCTTCCTTCCCGGCGTCGTAGTCCAGACACGTCTGTGTGCCCAGCACATCCTGCACCATCGCAATGATTTCACTTTTTATGACTCTAAGTATCCCGAGTTGTGTCTTCGGGCTGGGAAACTGCATCCTTGACACAAGGGAGATAATTCGGTTCATGTTATTCACTTCCTCGCTGATACACCTATCAGTGTCAAGATGGCGAGTGAACACGGCCTGAAACGCAAACCCAAAGGATATGGCGTACACCATCCCTGCCGGGACAAGGAAACACGCAATACCATCGTTGATATTTGGAGCCTGGGGAAACACATTCATCGGCCAAAATCCTTCAAGAATCAGCCCGTGCGTGAAGAGGGTGAGGGGGCAAAAGGCGAGAGACAGGGTGGCAGGCGTCACGATTTTCACCAGCTCTTTGAAAATGTTCGTCTGCCCGGTGATGGATTGGAGGACCTTCTTGTCCTCCATTGATATCAAGGGTTTTGTACAACATTTGTCCGAGTATGTGTTCTTGTTGAATCGAGTGTCGGTAATGTCCACAGCAGAATTGGTCCGCAGACATCTTGGCACGAACAACCGAGCAACCCAGCCACCGTGGGTTTTCAGCCACAGGATCATCAGAGCTGTGGTGGACAAAGAGACGACAGTTAACTTCATGCTCGTATGTTTCGCGTTTCATGTAACCAACTGGGTACCGACAAGTTGCTACTATAGGCCCGACAAGAAGCTGATTACATAAAGATATATGGGAGGGTACCCTGGGTACAAAACGAAGGTGACCAGGCCGAAATTGACCCTGTTATCTTCACTTTCCCTCATCAATATTTCTAATCGTGCATATCAATGGGATACACATTTATTGTAACAGAAACACAAAGCTTCGAAGAGGAGCGACTCATTTTCTTCCTACTGTGTCCTTGCCTTATAGCTATGGACTCTCCAGATAAGTGAGTGAGTTGAGGGTAACGTCCCTTTAAGTGAGTGAGTGAGTTAAGATTTAACGTCGCACCGGCAATAACGTCCCTTCAAACAGTATTCCAGTTATATCAAGCGTGTCAGCTTAAAGTGGGAGGAAATCCCGAAGTGGTGCAGGTCTCGGACGTTTTACAATCTCATTAAAACCACATCTTAGTTCTCGCTACAGCTAAACAAAGATCTCAGGACATCCCATTACGGGTCATGTCAGACCGACCTTGCGCGAACTTTGACCGACCAATGGAATGACCAATCAGAAGGCAGCTTTCTCGTGCTTTACGGCACTTATTTCAAATTGGCGACTACGCTTCGAAACATATTTTGACAAATTCTTGATTACAACTTTGAAACCTGAACAAAAGAACATTCTTGAATGGCTAACATATGGTCTAGATTGTATGGATTCAGTCGTTAAACCCGTAACTATTGCTCGGAGTTAAAGTTTTCAAGGTTGCATGATTAGAAATCACATTCCGACTGTCACTTTCATAAAGGTCGTTCTGACGTGACCCCTAATGGGATGTCCTCAGATCTTTGTTTAGCGATAACGAGAACTGAGGCCTGATTTTAATGAGATTGGGACGTTTTATCACTTTGGTGAAAGCACGGTATTGTGGTGACAGACCTACAAACATAATCGGGGCGAACCGGGATTGGAACCCAGGATCATAGGTTCCTGGCGTGCCAAGGGAGGCAACGCTTCACAGCAAATTGCGGCGTCTTAGACGAAATCATTTCGGGATCTTGCATTTCAATATTAGTGACAAGGTGTGGTCGTTCTGGTGCTGACACATATTTCATATTTCTAGAAATGTATGCGTCGTGACAATTTTACCGTTCGGCACAACCGCAACTGAACAATGTCACTTCCTGGGGATATTCTATTTCATAGTTACAGAGGCTATACCTAGGACTGACCAGATCGTTTGAATCCTTCAAAATGATCACTTGGAAGAATTAAAGTCTCTCAGCTGGGAATATGTTATTTAAAATGCGGAATGTATTTCCATGAACTACCTGAAACGGTGGTAAGTGTGCAAATACAATCTAGTTTGCCAGATATAGAGATGCTCTAGTATAAAGATAATGAACCCCTTTAAGTTAAAGGAGAGAAGAGTCCATCATACAATCATCATTAAAAGATAGCTGACAGTACTAGCCGAAATCAGGTTTACATTCTAGTGGTATAAATACAATGATGTTTCCGTCGCCTTAACGATCGCTGGATCAATTAGATTGTTAAAAAAATGCTGGGTTTTTTTCAAATCTGGGAGATGAAATTAGATAAATTGATGAATTGATGCGTATCTAACGATCTGGAATGTAATTTAACTCGTGAAGGCAAATAAACTCCCCAAAATGTTAAATGTATTGTTGAGGTGGCTTATCGCGATAAACACTTCAAATCCCATGTCGTTATGGAATGATAATAACAAAGTTGACGATCAGTTTTCGAATTGTTCCCGTTAAACAACTTTACAAACCACTTTCTCTTCTGTTCTATTACAGCACCATTATGATTTGATTATATTTTTATTTAAACTCTCTAACCAGTAGTAATCCTCTCAGTATCAATATATATGGATAAAGCTTGACTGAAAACGTTTACCGTCACTAATAGTTTATTGATTTTATATCAAACACATGAGGCAATATTGAACATACATGCGCTCCTAAATAAACATTTTGTAAACGTTATTGAACATTATCAAACAATACAATTCTATGAATTCACGGTTTATTTATGGTAATGATAAATCAACTGAATCAGCTTATGTGATGTCAGTTTGACTTTTTATTTGAATCTATGCAGTAGACGGCTGGCTCGGTCACTTAAATTGCCACTTAATGAATGTCAAGTATGACCTCAGGAAGAAATCACGTTCTTAATACACCACAATGAAATGTTACCATCTTATTAAACTGCGACGGAAGGTAGGCTGGTGTGATAAGTGAGGGATGGCGGATTCGTCGCAGCAATAACCCTGATCTCAACAACAGCGCCGCATGGGAAGAACGGCTTTGGCCCCACTACACTGTATTTGAGCCATCATTGATATTTAGATAAAATTGCCGTTCCGTTCATCAAGTCGGACTCATTATTGCTGGTCAAATAATCGACTTTTGTCACGGCTTGTTGATCAGTGATCAAGTATTCAGGCGTCCATATTTATGGTTTATGGTAATGGTGTGTTGTCAGTGATCCGAACATTTTATGTATACTAGCCACATAAAGAAACTGCACGGAGAAAATATATTCTGGATTGAAATACAACACAGCAAGAACAAAATGATGCAGACTCTGTAGCAGCTGAATGATCGGACCATAAGAAAATGTCAACGGTATGACCACCCTGTGCGTGAATCACAGCAGTCCATCGGCGACGCATGGAGTCCACCAAACGGGCATGGAAGGCCTGGGGAATGGCCTGCCATATCCTCCTCAAATCCTGTGCCAAGTCACGGACGTTATCTGGAGGATTTGGAAGTCGACGCAGACGGCGCTCCATTTCATCCCACACATGCTTTATTGGGGAGAGATCTGGAGAAACTGCAGGCCATGGCAGTAACATGACATTGTTATGGTGAAGGAAATCCATTGCGACCCTAGCCGTGTGAGGACGAGCGTTGTCCTGTTGAAATGTCAATCCCGGGCCATGACGTTGCTGGAAAGGAATGACCACAGGCCTCAGAATCTGATCTCTGTAGCCAACACCGGTGAGATTGCCCTGAACAACCACCAAAGGGGTTCGGTGCCGTGCTGTTATTCCACCCCATATCATCACAGAGCCACCTCCAAAACGATTCCTCTCCACAATACAGTTGCGTGCATAACGTTCTCCCAAACGCCGGTAGACACGTTGGCGCCCGTCACTGTGGGAAATGTTGAACCTCGATTCATCTGTAAAGACAACATTTCTCCACCATATTCGAGGTTGGCGAACATGATTTCGACACCATCTTAGACGGCTGACTCGATGACGGTGTGTCAGGATGGGACGTATGGCAGGGCGTCGTGGTCGAATCCCGTACTGACGTAAACGATTCCTGACAGTGTTGGGATGGATACGGCGCAGTCCAGGAATTGTCTGGGACGTCGTTACTGCCGTTTGGAACCTGAGTCGGAGATGTGTAACTCGAATCCATCTGTCCTGTCTTGGCGTCTTTACTCGGGAACGTCCTGAACGTGGGTGATCGGCAACGTCATTTGTGTTCTGATAACGCCTCACCAATGCCGATATCGTGTTACGATGGCATTGGAAATGTGTTGCCCCCTGTTGTTGCCTCATTCCCGCTCGGATCCATTCCAGTGGCTTCATGACGCTGTGCAGCTGTCAATCTTGGCATGATTTGCTTGTGATATGCTTGTGTCTGCGCCTGAGAAGTTTTGAATTTTTGAATGACCACAGATCATGCTTTCCAAAGTGACAGCGAATTTTGAGTTGCACATGCTGTGTACAGCTGCACAGGATGCACGTGCAGTAACACATTGCACGTCCATAGGCCCCCATCAATGACGTCATATCGCATGGCACGTGCATGACCGTTTGAATGTCTCCAATAATTGCTGTGTTCAAACCTATATTTCTAATATGGACGGTGTGCCCTTATATCTATATTTTCTCCGTGCACAGTTTCTTTATGTGGCTAGTATAGTTGTTCGCCGTGCTATTGTAATGGTGTCGGCCCGAAGTGTCGAAATCTAAAATAGAGGTAGTTTTCACATTCGACAGCTAGATGCTGGTTATGGTTTATGCACGCAAATATTTTCGACAGTTCGATGTCGGTGCGGGATCATTGCGCCAAGTACTTTCGACAGTTCGGTGTCGGTCCGGGATCATTGCACCAGGTACTTTCTACAGTTCGATGTCGGTCCGGGATAATTGCACCAAGTACTTTCGACAGTTCGGTGTCAGTCCGGGATCATTGCACCAAGTACTTTCGACAGTTCGGTGTCGGTCCGGGATCATTGCACCAGGTACTTTCGACAGTTCGGTGTCGGTCCGGGATCATTGCGTAAGGTACTTTCGACAGTTCGGTGTCGGTCCGGGATCATTGCACCAAGTACTTTCGACAGTTCGGTGTCGGTCTGGGATCATTGCGCCATGTACTTTCGACAGTTCGGTGTCGGTCCGGGATCATTGCGCCAAGTACTTTCGACAGTTCGGTGTCGGTCCGGGATCATTGCACCAGGTACTGTCGACAGTTCGGTGTCGGTCCGGGATCATTGCGCCAAGTACTTTCGACAGTTCGGTGTCGGTCTGGGATCATTGCACCAGGTACTTTCGACAGTTCGGTGTCGGTCCGGGATCATTACTACAGGTACTTTCGACAGCTTGGTGTCGGTCCGGGATCATTGCACCCGGTACTTTCGACAGTTCGGGATCATTGCACCAGGTACTTTCGACAGTTCGGGATCATTGCACTAGGTACTTTCGACAGTTCGGGATCATTGCACCAGGTTCTTTCTACAGTTCGATGTCGGTCCGGGATCATTGCAACAAGTACTTTCGACAGTTCGGTGTCGGTCCGGAATCATTGCACCAAGTACTTTCGACAGTTCGGTGTCGGTCCGGGATCATTGCACCAGGCACTTTCGACAGTTTGGTGTCGGTCCGGGATTATTGCATAAGGTACTTTCGACAGTTTGGTGTCGGTCCGGGATCATTGCACCCGGTACTTTCGACAGTTCTGTGTCGGTCCGGGATCATTGCACCCGGTACTTTCGACAGTTCGGGATCATTGCACCAGGTACTTTTGACAGTTCGATGTCGTTCCGGGATCATTGCACCAGGTACTTTCGACAGTTCGGTGTCGGTCCGGGATCATTGCACCAGGTACTGTCGACAGTTCGGTGTCGGTCTGGGATTATTGCACCAGGTACTTTCGACAGTTCGGTGTCGGTCCGGGATCATTGCACCAAGTACTTTCGACAGTTCGGTGTCGGTCCGGGTTCATTGCACCAGGTACTTTCGACAGTTCGGTGTCGGTCCGGGATCATTACACCAGGTACTTTCGACAGTTCGGTGTCGGTCCGAGATCATTGCACCAGGTACTTTCGACAGTTCGGTGTCGGTCTGGGACTGTACATCAAAATCCCTTAACAGTTCCAAATTCGCGGCGGTAGCAAATTCAAGTTTCCTCTTGTCGTTCCCAACGTCGCCAATTAGGAAATCGTCGCTAAATTCAGACTCTTCACTCTCCCTCTACGTCAACTGCAGCTCGGGTCTAGGAATCTTCGGAATGGTCGTGTGTTTGGCCCGGTACATGATGGTTTTCACAGATTCGAACATCGGAATGTTCCGGAGATTGTTGTCCGACAGGTTGTCTGTATCGCGTCTCACCTCGATAAGCTGGTCGTCGTAAAGTCCGTTGATGGAGGTAGTTTCTCCTCTAGCTCTCTGCATTATATTCTCTTTAAACTGGTCAGTATGAAGCAGGAACATTGACGATCGGCGATTGTGTGGCTGGGGTCCTACCCGGCTGACAATGTCGTTATGGGTCTGCGGTGTTGCCTTACAGCTCTTCTCTATACATCGCCAGTAGGATGTCTCGTTATTGTGTCTGGTTGTTTTTTTAAACTTGTATCCCCCATGATGTTCATACGAATTTTCTGTGACGCTGATCTGAAGTTGCGCATTAGTCTTAATGACATTGGCGTTATCGCCCTCTTTTATAGTAACCACAGGGCACGGGTGGCCCAGTCGTCTTAGGCGCCGCGATTCGCTGTGCGGTGTTGCGTCCCTTGGGTACGCCAGACACCTATGATTGTGGGTTCGAATCCCGATTCGCCCCGATTATGTTTCTTGGTTTGTCAGCACCATGCCCATGCTCGTGGGTGTCACCGAAGTGGTAAACGTCTGAGTACTGCATCACTTAGGGTTTACCTGACACGCCGCGATATAACTGGAATACCGTTAAAAGCGGCGTTTAACCCAACTCACTCACTCACTATAGTAACCAGATTTACTCAATATCTATCTTACTATCTTTACCCTGGGACTCCTGCAATTAAGGGTAGTGGATTTCCTGAACCCCGACAATAAATAACCCAGGTACATCCCTGAAATGTATGCCAACGGAACTCATTCGTTGGCGTATTTATTTCTGAATGAATTAGTTTTAACGCCCCTTTGAACCACATTCCATTTTCAGCTATATGCGAGAAACCACAGCGTCGTGAACTTTAAAGAAACCATTGAGGGCGGTGACACCTCACTTCCTGTTTCACAACATTACAAAGTTAAGATTGTTTGTTTGTTTGTGTGTTGTTTAACACCGCACTCAACAATATTCCAGCTATAGGACAGCGGTCTGTTAATAATCGAGTCTGGACCAGACAATCAAGTGATTGACATCATGAGCATCGATCCACGCAGTGGGGATACAATGACATGCATCAACCAAGTCAGAGAGCCTGACCTCCCGATCCCGTTAGTCGCCTCTTACGACAAACATAGTCGCTTTTTACGGCAAACATGGGTTGCTGAAGACCTATTGACCCCCGGATCTTCACGGGTCTCAAAGTTAGGAATACTTAAAGGTGTACATAACCTCTCTTGTTGGCAATTATTTCTTAAAAAGTAATACCATTAGATGACGACGCCGTTTATTTCTGTAACACCAATATTCGATTGAAGAAGAATGTGTTCATGACTTTATATTAATGCCCCAGGATCGCCACAGCTGAACTGTTAACAAAGAACCTTGCAACAGCAACGTTAACTCACCAATATAGCCTGCCCCCAGTACAAGGAGCGGAGGGGCCAGTATCTCCACCGTGCTGGCTTCGCGCATGTCCAGCTTCTGACCTAGGTCCATCGCCACGGGACTGTCGTTCACGTGCAGCTGCATCCTACACAGGTCCGTCCGGTCAGTCAGAGAACAGTCACACTAATCCAAACAAGGAAGACGACGTGTGCGTCCATTATCTAGAAGTGACCAAAGAGAGTCAGAGCTCTAACGTCGAGACGTGTACTCCGTCGTGTCCATCTGCGTCAACGGCGGGCTGACTTCTGCCGTCGGGTGATTGGCGACTCAGGTGGGGCTTCGCGAGAAGTCAATACATGGCGCACCAAACAGCAGCAGGGACAAAGAACAGCTTAGTCACTATAGCTACTGTTTGGGAACATTGTTTGATCACAAGTTACGGTTTGGGAACACTGTTTGATCACAAGTTACGGCTTGGGAACATTGTTTGATCACAAGTTACGGCTTGGGAACATTGTTTGATCACAAGTTACAGTTTGGGAACATTGTTTGATCACAAGTTACTGTTTTGGAACTTTGTTTGATCACAAGTTAATGTTTGGGAACATTGTTTGATCACAAGTTACGGCTTGGGAACATTGTTTGATCACAAGTTACGATTTGGGAACATTGTTTGATCACAAATTACTGTTTGGGAACATTGTTTGATCACAAGTTACGGCTTGGGAACATTGTTTGATCACAAGTTACGGTTTGGGAACATTGTTTGATCACGAGTTAATGTTTGGGAACATTGTTTAGTCATGAGATAATGTTTTTTAACATCGGTCACAAATTAATGCTTTTCTAACATTGTTTGGTCATAAGTTAATATGCCTTTCGTGTCTTCATTTCACAACGTTTGGGGTATAATCGCCCATGCTCTTTTAACCAAGACTTAAAAGAGCGTCACACGATTCTTGCAAAAAATGTTGCTTGATCAAGGTTTCAACATTCAAGGCGAAGCTTTAATACAAATGTTATAGTAGACACGTGGAGGACATTTCCAAATTTGACAAATTTCCAGGTGAACAATTGACTTGCGTTTGCATGTGTTTGTGGCAAGAGTGAGTGTGTGAGTTGGGTTTAACGCAGCTTTTAACAGTTTTCCAGTTATATCACGGCGTGTCAGCTTAATGTGGGAGGAAAGCCCGAAGTGATGCAGGTCTCAGACGTTTACCACTTCCGTGAAACCCACGAGCACGGGTATGGTGCTGACAAATCTAGAAACATAATCGGGGCAAACCGAGATTCGAACCCTCAATCATAGGTTTCTGGTGTGCCCAAGGGACGCAACTCTGCACAGCGAATCACGGCGCCTTAGACGACTGGACCACCCGTACCCCGTTGTCGCAAGAGCCAAGGGCGGGGCAGGATACGCTCATCTGTTCGTGAACACCTGGTATCATCACTATGAGATAGTGATTCATAAACACGTGCTTGTGATATAGTTGGAGTTGTACAATGGACGTTTCTTTAACATGTTCTTATGAGTACGGAAATGGTTTTTGTCGCTTTTATTATTGTTACATTGTTTGTTCATATGGTTATGTATTTTCTCATTACAAGATCTCATATTAATGAGGTGATGTTTTCTATACCAGAATGACCCGGAAGCATCAAAGACTATTAACTTTTCGTTGGAAAATCCAATTTTTAAATGACATAAACCCAACAACTTTACGACAACTAGATTTTGCAAAGTCCTCTTTTCAAATGTGTTTAATCGAGCTTTGTGGCTTCAAGGAACAATGGGCGGTCGGGTAGCCTAGTGGTTAAAGCGTTCGCTCGTCACGCCGAAGACCCGGGTTCGATTCCCGACATGGGTACACTGTGTGAAGCCCATTTCTGGTGTCCCCCGCCGTGATATTGCTAGAATATTGCTAAAAGCGGCGTAAAACCATACTCACTCACTCAAGGAACAATGTAATGACGTTCATTGTTGGTTTGCTGGCTGTTTGACGGCTGTTTGACGCCGCACTCAGCAATATTCCAGCAGTACGATGGCGGTTATCATCAATATGAAGCCAAGTCGGGAAACAATTTGGGCTGTAGAGTTGTTTCACAATCTTTCTTCGATAGCTGAGCCATAAAAAAACATGCTTTATGCAAATGCAACGACGTAGGTACAACATATAATTTTACGTCATTCATACTCTGCAGTAAACCAAACCAAACAGCCCGAAGCGAGTATATGAACAGGTGAGGTGAGGTGAAATTGAGTTTAACGTCGCGTCCAAGATTATTGCACTTATATAGCGACGTGCATGCACGTGTGTCTGTGGCTGCTTGTACTAGTCCGGACTGATGCCGATTTATAGTGCTAGCTCACTGAGATACCATGCCGCAGTTTAACATGAATACCCCACTCAGACACAGTATACTGACTCCGAGCCGACCAGTCCTTGTTTTAGCCCTTTAATGCCGAACGCCAGACAGGGTAACAACAAGTACCATCTTTTAACGTCTTTTGGTATGACGCGGCCGGGGATCGAACCCCGGACCTTCCGCTCTCCGGGCGGACGCTCTACCACAAGACCACGGAGGCGGCGAGTATATGAACAAGAAAAGAAATGGATTCCCATAAGCTAAAACTACCACCATGTACAAATACCGGATAATTCGATACTACCATGTACAAATACCGGATAATTCAATAACATAAAACATAGATCAATATTTAGGCGTTATTAAAACACAAAAGTGTGCTCCTCAATGCTGGCTTAATCATCGATAACTAATGTTGCGTCATACGCACTTGAAGAACCTGCACGAGGACGCATGTTGTATGCTTTGGTTTTATCCACGCGATGATTTAGCATCATTCCTCCATTAGCATTGGCTGGTTGTTGGACGGCCAATACCGTGTAAGAAAACAGTGAAACAATCGATGTAATACTTTTTACGTTAAATGTACTGGTTGTGTTGGAGTGTGAGTGAGAAATCTTGGATAGTTCTTCAAGAACGGTTTGTCGGAGCCAGGTATATCTTTCAATGTATGCCTGGTAAGGACAAACAATCACAGAACACTTCGTCAATGGCTACTTGCTCTTTCGGGATGAGGGTTGGTGTACTGTAATGATTGTATTTGTCTCAAAATGGGCAAACGTGAAGGTAGAAATGCAAAATAGAATTCGTCCCGTGTACTCACTTGATATTTCTACCCGTGAAGATTCGGAAAAGAATAGGTCTTCAGCAACCCATGCTTGTCGTAAAAGGCTACTAACGGGACCGGGTGGTCAGGCTCGCTGACTTGGTTGATGCCTGTCATCGATCCCAATTGCGTGGATCGATGCTCATGATATTAATCACTGGATTGTCTGGTCCAGACTCGATTATTTACAGACCGCCGCCATATAGCTGGAACATTGCTGAGAGCGGCGTTAAACAACAAACCAACCAAACAAACCAAATGATTACCGACATAAACAAGCCCACTGAAAGGATTATAAATTCTGTGTCATTTTTTTGGTATAATAATGTCAAAACCAACCATTAAAATCAGGTCATAGCTTTCGCTACCGCTAAACAAAGATGTAAGTAATCACTTTACGGGTCATGTCAGAACGACCTTTATCGAACTTTGACCGACCAATTGAATGACTGACAAGAAGCACTAGTTTCAAACTGGCGACTACGCTTTCAAACATATTTTGACAAATTCTCTCGGTAGTGAGAACTAAGGTCTGAATTTAATGAGATTGTGTCAAAACAAATCAGTACAAACGTGACGTTAGAGTTTCAGAAATGCCGGGTCAGGAGAACTTATGGGGATTAAAAATGACAATGGCCGTTTCAAATGTAAAGCGGGCTGACACTTTTAGATCAATCGCTGCGCACAATTGCATTAGTACGTGGCTAGCTGATTGTATAGTGTTGTTTGTTTTATGGTACTTGGTTTCAGATTAATGATTAATTATTCAACGAATAGCGCAGTGGAAGATAATGCTTCCGTCAGTCCCATCTCGTTTATGGGGAACACATTAAGTGTAATGCTGTCCTTAACGGCTATGTTGGGGTAATGGCGATCTCGTAAAACCAGGCAATGATCCATAACAATTTCTGTTATTGAACGATGGCAGTGTCAATGACAATTACACACGTTGTCGAACCACAAGGCTCTGTAACTCACCTGAAATGTGTTGGACTGATATATTGGAGGAGTGTGCGGTGTGAGATTATACTGGCTACAGTGAGCTTGTATACTGGCTACAGCGAGTATGTATACTGGCTACAGTGAGCATGTATACTGGCTACATATAGCATTATACTGGCTACATATAGCATTATACTGGCTACAGTGAGCTTGTATACTGGCTACAGGGAGCTTGTATACTGGCTACAGTAAGCATGTATACTGGCTACAGTGAGCATGTATACTGGCTACATATAGCATTATACTGGCTACAGTAAGCATGTATACTGGCTACAGTGAGCATGTATACTGGCTACAGTGAGCTTGTATACAGGCTACAGTGAGCATGCATACTGGCTACAGCGAGCTTGTATACAGGCTACAGTGAGCTTGTATACTGGCTACAGCGAGGTTGTATACAGGCTACAGTGAGCATGCATACTGGCTACAGTGAGTATGTATACTGGCTACAGTGAGCATGCATACTGGCTACAGTGAGTATGTATACTGGCTACAGTGAGTATGTATACTGGCTACAGTAAGCATGTATACTGGCTACAGTGAGTATGTATACTGGCTACAGTGAGCTTGTATACAGGCTACAGTGAGCATGCATACTGGCTACAGCGAGCTTGTATACAGGCTACAGTGAGCTTGTATACTGGCTACAGCGAGGTTGTATACAGGCTACAGTGAGCATGCATACTGGCTACAGCGAGCTTGTATACTGGCTACAGCGAGCTTGTATACAGGCTACAGTGAGCTTGTATACTGGCTACAGCGAGGTTGTATACAGGCTACAGTGAGCATGCATACTGGCTACAGCGAGCTTGTATACTGGCTACAGCGAGCTTGTATACAGGCTACAGTGAGCTTGTATACTGGCTACAGCGAGGTTGTATACAGGCTACAGTGAGCATGCATACTGGCTACAGCGAGCTTGTATACTGGCTACAGCGAGCTTGTATACAGGCTACAGTGAGCTTGTATACTGGCTACAGCGAGGTTGTATACAGGCTACAGTGAGCTTGTATACTGGCTACAGCGAGCTTGTATACTGGCTACAGTGAGCATGTATACTGGCTATAGTGAGTATGTATACTGGCTACAGCGAGC